CCCCAAAAACCCCAAAACCCCAAAACCCCAAAACCCCAAAACCCCAAATTTGCAAACAGCTAGGTCTGAATTCGTTAACAAAAATATTTAAAATTAAGAAAAATGTCAAATTTTAAAGTAAGCTTTGTGTTTCATAATTATTCAGCCCTTTGCTACGAAAATGGATGGAGTCACTCACAAGCAAGAGAAGAGTCTTACTCAGTCTGAAAAATCACTTTCGTACTCTAGATCTTCTTCAATACGGGAAGACCTTGATTGTGCTCTTTCTAAGATATCAGACCTCCTTGAGAATGATATAAAGGAAGATAAATGGAAAGATTTTAACATTTACAATGAAGCTATGAAGGATGTAGACTCAGCCTCCTCAAGGTAGCTCAAATTAATAACTTATAGTCAATTTGACATCCATTTCGAACAAAGAAGTCCTCTTAAAGAGAAAAACAGTAATTTAGCACTGAATTGAGCTAGCCAAACTTCTATGAAGAATATTGATAAATCTCCTCATTTGAGTGCACAAGGAGCGTTCCTGGAGAAGAGGCCCATGCAGCACGAAACTCCTGAGAAATCAGCTAAAGACTTGGACAAACAGTGAGAAGACCTATTCAAACTTGAGAACTGCAGCTCAGTCAAGGAGTTTGTTGAAGAGCTGTCTAAAATTATTGAACTCTCCAACCAGAAAGATAGCATGCCTGAACTTCAGGGTAAGTTGCATCTTTACAAGCCCTAGAAAGCACAGATGTGAAAAAGGTAGACAGGAAAAATAAGCTGTCTGAAGCAGTGCCTCTGCTTAATAATACAAATCGCAGGGTATTCCCTTCACCTGAAAATTTAGACTACTGCTCCAAAGGAAAGCTGTCTCTCAGATATAAGGCGAAACTTATGAAATGAAAATTTAAACTCTTCTGATTCAAAATCGGTCACCTCAGAATCGATGTAAATTCCATTGTAACCATATAGGGGTGCTGAAGAGTTCATTAAGAAGATGGAGATGGATTCATCCATCTTCAATGACTACATCAACAAGAGCACAAGGTCCTTACGGATCACCAAAACTCAGGACGGAAAGGAAAATATGTTTACTCAAAACGAGAACCCTGCACTTGAAGCTCCCATTGATGATGGTAGTAAGACAAGCAAGGTGTCCTCAAGAGTAGAAAAATCAGCTAACACATTCAATGATGACATATTTATGGACATCCAAAGGCTAATTGAACGAGGTATTTCTCCATTGACATCTATAGACAATAAGAAAGGGTCGAATTGACTCAAAAATTGTGATGTCAGGTCCCTAATTTCAGGTATTCCTCTGACATAACCTGTCTAGCTGAGACAATGACTAAGATTTATCAGGATAAATAAGGTCCAAGAAGTGGTCAAGCGCATCTATGATAGAGAGCTAAAAATTAAGAACAAGATATCCGACCTCCGTATGGCCAAACGCATGGAGGAACTCCAGGCTTGAAGGCAAAAGCCAGAGATCTCTGAGCGGTCAAAGAAGATTATACAGAAGAAGAGTTCCTGGATTCCTATATATCAACAGGAAAGAATCGACCAAGTTCAGAAGGCCAGGAACAAAAATATCAACTCCCTTGCTGAGAAACTCCAAAAAGAGAAGGATAAGAAGGCTCAACTTGAAGAAGAAATGCTTCAGCGTTATCACAAAAACAGAAAGATTACTGTTTCTCAGTTTGAACAGCAATATACTCAGAAAATGAGTGAATATCAGAGTAATCTTAAAATGCGTGCAGATAAGAAACTGGAGAGAGATCTTGATGAATGCACCTTCATTCCTATTACAAATCATAACAAGAAGACTAAGAAGAAGCAGTTAGAGAGCAAGTCTCAAACTCCTCTGAGATCTGCTACTAATGTTGTTGACAGAATGGAGAAATACCAGAAAGTCAAGTTTAATAAAATGGAGAAGCGAAGAAGAGATCTCACTCCAAAGTTCAAGCCAAAAGTTCTAGAAACTTATAATAGTAGAAGAAAGAGTAGTAGAGCTAGTAAATCCCAAAAGGCGGTCAGAGAGCGAGAAGAGAAAAGGGAAGAGAGTTCTCAGACAATATTATTCTCTAGTGTTGGATCTTCTCATTCTAAACCCCCTCTGAAGAAAGAAGCTGTACTCTTGAAGGAAGACCAAAAGTTAAACAAGGATTTAGATTTAAACAATGACTACCATTTTGATTTCCAGAGCCTTCCCAATACAGATTCCAAAAATGATGAAAAACCTCAAACCTGTTCCAAACCTACCAAAATTACTCAAGAGCCTGAATACGTAACCTTCACGAATCTCCATCCAATTCTAACATCAAAACACCCTTCCTCCATCCCTCTGCCTCAAAAATCATCAGAGCCTCCTAAGACGTTCAAAACCCCTTCTAATCCCACAAAAGTTCGTCCAGAATCTGCTTCCACCATCGATCTGCCCTCTTGGAACCACTCTTCCATCCAATCTCTAAAAGAAGACTACAACACGCCTGAATTTGGTAAGAGCTCTACTTATCCCTTTTCTAGACAGGAACACTACCACAATCAGCTGTAAGAGCAGCTTCAGCACTAAAGAAGTCAAGTCTAGGTCCAATAGCTCCAAAAGGACTAGTACTCAGAAAAAGAAGGCATCCAAGAAGGTAAGGATTTATGGCAAATCTTTAGAAATTTAAGTGCAAAAGTCGGAAACAAACTAAATTTGACCCAGATACTACTCTGAAGACAAGTAAGAGCAGACAGAGCTCTAATTCAAGCTTTGGGAGAACAAGTATTGAAAGAAAACCAGCAAAACCTATCTTGAGTAGCGACCTTCAGTCTATTCTTCAGAGCATTAATGTGAGCTACAGTGATATGGTAAGATAGAGAGAATAATGGCTTAGTTTAACAAGAAGAGACAACAAAGTCTTAAGCGAAAGGACAACAAATAATCGTCACAAAGATATTCTCTAATTAAATCTAAATGTAGAATCTATTGGTCACACTTAAAGAGTTCCAATATATTCCCAGTAGCTTATCTCAACATAAGTATTTATTTACATACTGTATTTCAAATTTAGAGCCAGCTTTTGGGGTTTTGGGGTTTTGGGGTTTTGGGGTTTTGGGG